ACTTAAATAAGGCAAAAGGTCTCAATCAAACAATAATTTTTCAAATCTTTCGGTAAAAAGACCTGAAAAAAATTAATTGATCAAATAAGTGAAGAATATTTTAAAATTTCTTATTAGCAATGCATCTAACTCGTTTAGAATAAATAACAATGACAATTGTATTTGATATTGTGTTAATTAAGCATAATGCTAACTAATGTTAATAAGTTCTGAACACTATCCATTCGTATAGGACTAAATTATTCAGCAAAAAAAAGAAAAATTTACTTTTGAATGTAGAAAAGAATTTTTTTTTTCTAAAAGCATACTTTTATGTCACCAAATTCAATCAGAAATTGTCGAACAAATGCCGCACATTGTAAAGAGTATAATTAGCGTCGTGCAAATTTCAATTGCTTGAAATTCACAATGTCCTTCAGCTACCACTCATGTTTCTACACTTCATCCATCACTATATGATGCATTCTCAACATTTCTTGTCGGTTGATTGAATGATAAAAATTATCAGTTCATTAATTTTAGAAGTAGTAGATATGAAAGTAAAATGATAAGAGAAAAATTTTGCTAAGCAATAGAAATAGATTAGTTCATGAATGATAGAGACTTACTGTAACGGTGATAAATTTAGTTTCCGGTGATCATTTTGCCATCTTTGGTCAACAAAGCAGCTATATGAACAATAGGCTCAATCCACAACAAATTGAACGGCATTTGTTAAAGCATCAGTATCAATAACACTCATTTCTGTAATTTGCATTTTTCCAAAAAAAAAAAACAAACAAAAAATACAAACAATAATTGTTAAGTTCTTTTCTTTTTTCCGTCTAAATTTAACTTACTTTGATTATTTCAGGAGTGAAAATTGTCATAACATATCATCGTTAACTACTATTATCATCGTTATCAATTCATCATTAATATTCGTTTTATCTTAATCATTTTCGCATATAATCAATTATTATCATATTACTATAATTGATTTGATCGACAGGATAGCTATTAAAACATTATGAAATTTTGAGGGCATATATCAGAGAGAAAAGAGAAATAGAACAATGATCAAATGTAAGCGATAAATGATAAGGAGAAATAGAAATACTAACAAACTGATTTGACTGAAGCTGGTTTTGTTATTGAGAGGAAAAAAAAAAAGTGACAGATGGATTAGGAATGTACGAATGAATGCAAAAATTTTGAATGAATGACAGTTTGTTCGAAATGAAATAATCGATGTTTAATTAAAAAAAAGAAAAAGAAGAGAACCTATCGAATTGATTAGAATGAAATAAACTATTGAATGGAAAAGTTTATTTAAATGTATACGAAAAA